TCTCTCCGCCTCAATCACCGCTCGACCATTCCAGCTCTTCACTAGCCGATATCATTGCAATTAACAATCATGGGTTTCTTAACTCCCACTTACAATTCCGGTCAAGATAGAGTAGAGGGAGGTTTGCGAAGATTAAAAAACACTGACAGGTACAATGAGGCTGGGAACTCTGGACAGTAATCCACTTATCATCGATAAATCAGTTTCATGTAGTAGATAGTGGTGTTCTAATAAGCTTATATGGTGCATAAATGGAATTCACTATGAAAAGTGAGTGGCTTTTTGTTACACACCTTAGTGTGATAAACAGCAGACGGACGAACCCCATAGTCACGAGGACCTGCTGTTCAGTGATGGAAACCGGTAGTTTAAGCCCAGGTACTATGAGTGGCGAACCACATAAGGCCCCGCTAGATTAGGTGTGGTATTGAACCGTGCGGCAGCAAAGCTGCCTACAACCAAAGTTGGGTGGCGGCGGTGGGGCACGAATCTCGGACCATGGGTCCAAAACACGCCTGTGACAGCGACTGAACCACTGCGCCACCACCACCCCAGGGGAGGGTGAAGTGTACACAAATACATTAACACAGAATTGACTGTGGAACTATGAGCCAAGTTGGATGTGATGAAAGCCGATTCGTGTTCCAACAACCGATTCACGACAAGTATCGAAGATAAATTCTTCGATTGACCTAAGTTAATTTACTTACATTCCACTATTGTTAGGTTATTTTTAACAAACTGCAAAGAACGAGTGTAATCAGAAAAAGTGAATTTGTGTACCTCATCAGAAATGAGATCCAAGTAATTAGATGGAGCGTATTTGGCAGTCCAAAGCGTCGAACAGTGCGTTCTCGCGCAGTTCACTTGTTGAGGATTTTCAGTTGAGGATTTATTCTTTAGGCGAAGCTGCAGGGGAGAATCAAAAAACGGGAAAAAGACTCACCAGACTCTTAGCCTCTTCGGCCAGATCGCTGCATACAAAGGGTGGTAAGTCATCAATAGAATCTTCGTTTTCATTTATTTTCAGATAGTACCGGTCTCCCTGGGCAAAAGTGACGGATACGTAGTCACCTTCCAGTGGAATTCTTTTATGTAGCACGCCCTGATGAGGAGAAGCGGGAGGATTCGAAGGAAGTGTGGCCGGTTCAGATATTTGACTAGTTACATCAGTGAGAATGCTTTTTCTACGTTTGGATTCATTTAAAACTACACAGTCGTTCGGGGCTTGAATGCTGGAGTTGTCCGATGCTCGCTTTATAGCGTATGCATGAGACTGGTCGACTGGTTTAACAGGACTACTCTCCGTCTGCATCTCTTCATCGATTTCAAGCAAACGATCCAAATCAGCATCATCATCGGGAATATACATCTACAAAAAAACAAGTTTGAATTTTAGGAGTAAAGCTTATCAATCATTAAGATGATTGAATGCGGAACATCATCATCGTCGCACTGCAAAATAAAGTGAAGCGAACTTCGCTGATCGCTGCCAAACTCGCAATGCATACAAGGATAGTGTTAACATGTAAGATGGACAGGAGTGGGAAAGGGAAGAAAGTGGACCTTCATCAGTTCAGTTCAGTTTTTACAACCATTAACCATGCACTTTCTTGCACCGGCTTTGGTAGCTGTCTTTTGGTGCCCCATTTGGATAAAAGAACAGAATGAAGATTGGAATATTGAAAGCAAATTCAAGAGGAAGATGGAGAATTCATATGGAATAGTGATGGGGGGATAAAGGAATAATGAGTGGATGCACGAGTGCCACTGTTTGCGACACCCAGCCATATCACTCAGTGTCTCTAACCATCGGTGGCTATCATCTCGGGGTCCCCAGCCAGGGAGCCTAACAGTGGAAGCGGACCTTTATGGTCAACACAGAGTACACAATCTACCTATGCATACATACCGTTTCACGCATACTGGCCTGATGAGAAATAACAACAAGCACGCCACTGCTGTCGGTTCGCTGCCATGACCTTCAGTGTCTTCAAAAATTCAGGTGCGAATTCTTTCGGACCACAACTTGGAAGGCGAGAGATACCTACCTACCTACCTACTCTACCTAATGGCTATGTGCATTTATTTATGCCTCATCTCCACGTCATCTGTTGACTTCTACGGGGGTTAGTCCAAGCCGTAGCAACTACAGCGAATAGGGCGAAGCGGCAGATAACAGATGGGCATGGGCAATACGTGCCCTAGCCAATGAAGCATACCCATCATAATTCGCTGAACTAGTAAGTTTATCGCTGATAACCACCGAAACATACGACGACTTACTTCCAGATTACTAACCGGTTCACTCCATCTTACGTGAGCTAAAATACTTCAACACCAATAATCGAAAACTTCAAGTCGATGGATATCTTCTACTCACAAATTTAATATCACAAAACCATAAGCATAACTGAACGAATGATAGCACTATATACACGACCTTTCAACTTCAGTGAAACGTCGCGTCTACACCCAAGGTGTTTCGGTCCTGCGCACGTTGCGTTAGTCCTTGAGATGTTTTCTGCTTCTCAACACCCAAAAATGTGCGCATATGCGACTGGGCCAAGCAATGAACACCATGCAGAACTAGGACCATGGTAATTTTCTTCGACCGTTTATATGTGAAAGGAGTTTAGGTGTGATCATGGCTTCCAATCTAAAGGCCAAAAGTTATGTCGAAAGAGTGTATCGACCTGGAGAAAACTGGGAGCCATAAGGCGATCCTTCCCTGAATGCCTCCAAATTGCTGTACGCCTCCCACATGCGCCCGAGATTGGAATACGACGATCATGCACCGTTCGCATGCATTATACCAGAGGCGAGGAAACTGGAACGGGTGCTCCACACGCCCCGACGCTGCGCTGAGTGGGTTGAACTACGAAGGACGCCTATATGCCGCGGGACTGTTTCTATTACCTTACAGACGGGCGAGAATAGAGGTGAGCAACAACAGACGCATTCTGTGTCGAGAACTGGACTGAACTGCAGGCGATGTTCGCGTTTCAGGATTGCAATCGCACGAGTGGACACACACTAAGCATGGCGAAAGAGCACTCGGTGGGACTAATATCAGTTAAGTGCCCATTCAATCACGACGAAACTGCACCTTGACGTGATGTGATGGCTTGCGTGCCTCAATGACCCTGCGAGCAACACAGGATGGCTCCTCACAGCCGTAGAGCCAATCATGCCTGAAAGGTCCACGAGTAGAGGCCAGAGGAAGACCAGTCTCACAAGGCCAGCTGCTTGAGCACCTCCTGGCTTCCTTCCTTTTATCCACACCCGCACCTGGAGAGGCCACTCCAGCAAATAAACACGGTGAGGGGCAGTTTACCGGTCGAAAAAAAACCCGCTAGATGGACATAGAAGCGGGGTACCTGGGACTTCCTCTCGACGGTGGGAGAAGTTTTCGCACTTNCTTCATCGTACAGCTATCACCCGCCCAAGCTGGGCAGCCCCCAGCCAATAAGGTGCTGTCCCGTCCACGTTCCGCTTGTCTCATTGGGTGCATGAGGCTAAGGGCTGATCCCGAAAAGCGGACCGATAATCAACGCACAGCGAACAACACACTGAACCGAAATTCAAAGGCCTTGCGTGTCAGGTCTCCAGAAGCTCCCACACGTTCGCACGTTGAATTTACGCCCCGCTTCCTTGTGGGTCAGACTCCTAAGTCAAAGGCTCCGGTTAGGGTTCCCAAAGAAAAACCCCCTCGTCGGTGTGGGTTACCGCGAAGTATGCCGTGCCTTAAAGTCTTAGGCACCCATTTGGAAAACTATTCTTCCCATCTGTCTAGCTCTTCTTCTAAACCCTGAATAATCCCAGATGCCTTCTGTTTGCACCCCCCCCCCATCGAATACAAATCAGTGTTTTACCAACAAAACCAGACAATCAGAGGCTATAGGATTTTAAAGCCAAAATCCACTTTTAAATTACCCGCGTTCAATGTCCGCACGCTCTACAAGATTGGTGAACAAGCTGCCCTGGATAGAACCGTCGAAACTTTCAATGTAGATGTATGTTGTGTCTCCATTAACCATGCACTTTCAAAACCGGCGCATGAAAGTGCATGGTTAATTGTTGAAAAAACTGAAACTGAAATGTTGTGTCTCCGAAACAAGCATTTCAAAAAGGCCCAGAGGCACTATTACCATCAGCGTTTAAGGATGGAGGCTCAGCGTTAGTCTCGGAGTTGACAAA